TATGAGATAACAGGACACGAATATACCGTATATTATGGACAAAATCCAATTCTTTGCTTTAACCGATAGCGGAGTTTCATCGGGTATTGCATTTAGTTTTGTACTCATTTTCACAATATTTTAATTATTTATTTTAATTTACATTAATTTTTAAGTGAATTTAGTTTACAATTGACGAACCGTTTATAAACTCAGTAAATAGTAATGTGAAGAATATTTAAAAATTGATGGCAATTTATATTGATATAAAATTACATTATATTTATTAGAGTACTGTATTTGATTAGTGCAAATATAATTATCTGTTTGTATTTTAGATTTAATGTACTAAAATTGTTTTTATATAAATGTACTCAAACTATAAACCATGTTGCATTCATATTTGTAAATTGATTTAATGATTCCTTTTACAGTTTTACAATTTATTTAGTACATTTGAGAGTAAATTTTAACTAGTTGTGCATATTTATAGTTAATTTCATTAACATTTAAAACTAAATCAATAAAAGTTACATAAAGTAATTAATATCTACAATGAATGGTGGGTCAAGAATTTCCTCATATACTGGTTGACCAGATCCGGGCACTCCTGAGCCGCCCAATGGGAACAATTGTCAATACAATGGACAGTCAGGTCGTCCACATACCGGTGCGCGGCCGCCATCTTCCACGACAATAGTTGATCCTTTTTGCCTGAAAAATACACTCAAATAAATTGCAAACTATTAAAACTACATGAAATGTCAATACAAATACCCCAAACGAGAAGTGTTGGTACTTTGATGTTGAGATACTTGGGTGGAATGCGGATGGGGTACCTGCCGGCCAAATTGGCCCTGTACCAATTCAACGGTGCTGTCAAACCGTTTTGTTGAAACGTGTATTTGTATGCCTCCATGTGCTCGTCGGCGAGCAGTGGTCGGCCGTCGCCCGTGCGGTACAGGTAGTCAAGCATGAAGTAATCGTTGCCCGCGAGGGCCCACTCGGGCAGTGGCGTCGGGAGGCTGAAGAAGTTGTATATGGTGCTCGCGTCTATGACAGCGGTTGAGAAGTATTTGAACGCCATGTAATCGCCTACGCCTCGTGAGTTATGCTGGTCAGCCACCTAGTCGAGGCCCATAAACCGCCGGTTAACGGTCGACACTATACCACCCCAGCCGTGACCCACCAGTACTATACGGCGCTTGTTTAGGGCGTTCATCAGGTGACACATGTCTTCAATGGTTTTGTCCACTTTGTAGTTAAGAAATCCGGTCGGTTGGCCAGAATCGCCGTACCCTCGGGTGTCCACTGCTATCACGTGATAGTCTTTGGCGAACTCTTGGATCTGATGTCTCCACGAGTACCAGAACTC